TTCGGTTGAGTGGGATAAAATGGGGCTGAAAACCTTGGCGTATATTTGTTGGAGATGGGAGGCCACATCTCGTGAGTCATGAAGATTATGTTTACATAATCACTTGATTATGATGTTTGTGATGATAGTGTGGCTTCTTAAGCAGAAATGCATTAGGCCGCAGTATTCTGTTTGTGTCGGATTGATTTTGCAATTTACTTTAACTAACCTCTTCCATCTCTTAATGTGCTATCCTTCTTGGCGCCAAGCATTATTGAACATTAATCTGTAAGGTCGAACGCTGCTATTGTCGTCTGCATCCATAAGCAAGAATAGTAAGAATAAGTCTTTTTTTATATATATATCTAAAATATTTTTTTTAAATGTTCTAGATTTAGGTAAAAAAATGTTCTCATATAAATATATTTTTTATAAAAATACCAGACTCTCCTCCAAGAATTTTTGCTGCTGCACATTTGTTCTACTAAAGTCTCTTCTTTGACTTACTGCAAAGAGATTTCTCCATTTTCTGGAGACCTGATATCTATATAGTATCAATATGCTAATATTTTATAACTAATATAAGATGACTAATTTATGAAACCGAATATATGATATCATTCACTTACCCAACACCTGCCTATCTATCGAAATGTAGTTTAAATGGTTCAGACATAGCTCACAAAGCGTTTACCGAGTCTGCTCCAGCAATTGCGATTTATTTACATTTTAGCATTTTGTTGTGTCGTGTTCCTGTTTTCATTCTCCCTTTTCCTGGGTTATAAACTTTAATGTGATATCGTAAAATGTAAGCACGACTGCGACCCGAGAATAAATACCTAATGGGCGGCATGGGGCCAGGCAGGGCATGGAGTCATAGAGCGAGCCTGTGGGCTCATATGATGCCATAATCACGGCAATGACAATGACAAAATGTTAATGTGTCTCGACACAGATTTGTTTTTTTTTTTATGGCCCGTCATAAATTAAAAAACAATTTGCGGAGTTCGGTCGCAAACTAATATAAGGACTCAAGAAGGCAACCATTTAAAACAATTTGCAAGCATTTAAATATCAATTAAGGCGGTGTATCCTGTATTTTTTGGCAAATATAAAACAATTATTGGGCAACAAAGGCAGAAAAAAAAATTCATGAGAATTAACGCGAATTTGCGCATTTTAAATGCAAATCAGAAACAACAACAACGATTACGAAGCGCCAACAATTATAATAAATAACCACGAAATATTCGAAATGATTCGCTTCGTGCGGGAGACTGTGGGGACTGTGGGGGCTGTTGGGGCCGTCGCACACAGAAAATTAATAATAAATCTCAAAATGCTCATTAACTTAATTACTGTGTTTATTTTCATTGCCCTTCCGCAAACGTCGCAACGCGTCATCATCGTCGTCGTCGACTTTGTCGTTGTCGTCGCTTTTCGATTCGTTTCCAAGTTTTGGCAGTTTTCACTTTGTATTGTTTTTTTTTCCCTCCCCATATATATACTCTTGTAGAGGGTATAACAAGTTAGAAAGGACTCTTTGTGGTTTTCAAATATATTTATATTTTGATGGCTTAAATAGCTACAGCTTTGCAGGTGTTTTTGTATTTTTAACGAATTAATTATTAAATTTAATATGATTAATATACATTATTTATTTACAAAATCATGGCTACAATTTGGACCTCATTTTGAGAAATATTTTAAACAATTTTTGAAGACCAAAGCGAAGAGCATTAAAATAATAATAATAAAAAAAATAATAATACTAAAAAAAAAAAAAAAAAAAAAACAAAATCAACTCGCCTAATGGCTAGTTGTTGGTGAAAAATCAACTTATTTTATATTAAAATTTTTATTATTTATTACGCCTATGCACTACTATGTACCTATGCACTTTTATTATATTATAAATTTAATCCTCTATGGACTCTTTTCTTAAAAAATATATTTCAGACCCAACTAAAAGTTTGATAAATAAAAAAATATATTTCAGACCCAACTAAAAATTTGATAAATAATGTAAAATATATAATAATAAATAATTGTTTTATGATTAATTTGTAATGTATATGTGATAAAGAAATTAAAAAAAAATATATATAATAATAAATATAAATAATCTAAACACCTATATTTAGAAGGGCATTACTTCTTCGGTTTGCCATTTATTTTCATTATTCTTAGTTTTTTCTTCCTCTTTCTCGTATTTTGTGCTCAAATGTTTTTGTTTGCTGCGTCACGCAATTTTTATAGCTCTCGCCCCTTCGGATATTACTGGACGAAAATTCGGATAAACAAACTCACTGAAGAAACGAGAAAAAAAATGATGCATAAGAAGAAAAAAATAGCCCCAGAACATGAAAAAATTCCGCGTCTTTAACCTTAATGTGTATTTAAGTAATGTTAATTGTGTATGTAGAGCGGCAGTGGCAGTGGCAGAGGCAGAGGCAGAGGCAGTGGCAGCTGTCGCCAGGTGGCTGCCATTCCATGATTTCGCCTTTGCTTTGCATTGTTGTTTTTCGTTTTTGGCACATTCTTTTCTTGTAATTATGTTAATTTTGCTTTCATTTCGACCTGCTGGCAGCGTATCTCAAAACCTGTGTTCTGTCCACTAAATTTGTTATATAATTGTTGGCTAGAGCTGTTAATTGAAATTCCAGTGCGAAGCGCACGGGCTAACAATAAGCCCAAGGATATTTTGTTTATTATTAATTGAAAATGGTTGTTGCTGATGCTTAATTGTATTTTATTAGCGTTGTATGTGTGATATTTACTGAAATAAATGGTATATTTGATAAATTTCCAATAGTGTTAAATGATTTCGAAATGTCAGAAACATTGTTTAATTATATTTATCTTATTAGTTTATGTATATAATTTTCTTTTTTTGGTTAAATTAACAAAACTTAAAAAAAAAGTATACAAATATATTACACACGACTATATTTTATAACTTAACTAACTTAATTATATATATAATTATATATATAAGTTAATTATTATAATAAAATAAAAAAGCGAAGTTTTCCCAGTTAAAACAGAACAATAAAAAATATTTAAAAGCTAAAATTAAATAAAAATTTAATTTATGTGTGATTAAAATTCCAAAATAATCGTATACTATAATATAGTCTTGTTTTATTTAAATTAATCCTTATAAAATTCCACTAAACTAAATAAAAAAGGAAAAAAATGACGGTAATTTTTTGTAAAATTTAATTTTTGTTTTTGTTTTATAATAAATAAATAAGATTTTTAAAATTTGTATTTCATGACTTTTAAATTATTATTATTATTTTTTATTATATACATTTATTTATTTTAAAACTATTTCCTTTCGCCCAGAAAAATCAACAATTTGTTTATTTATCGTATTAGTCATACGAACTGTAATGTAATGCATAAATTTAGCACGTATGCGAAATAAAATTGTGATGCAAATAAACTGGTAGACTGCGCTCAAATGCAGGGCTCGTTCCTAGTAATTACATATCTGAGCTTAATTTGTTCTTTTTCACTTTTTAAATCGCTTGATACCTGCACTTTTCATTAACCAAAAATAAAAATCGATCTCTTTGAGAAATTTTTTGCTTCTGTTGTTGTTGTTGTTATGGTTGCTGTTGCTTTCGCAGTTACTGAGCTCTGCAATCAGGAAACAAGGCCCAATGCCACACTGTAGTTTGCCATCATTAAAATGTACATTATATGCGGGTCAGTCGGGTACGAGCTATACGGATTGCCATTATTCCCTGCTGGAAAATCGCTTTAGTAAGCCATGCATGCGTTTATGATGCATATTTACAACATTTTAACCTTGAGATTTATATGTATTACATGTGTGTATATACTCACATGTGTGCGCGCCTGTGTCTGTGTGTGTGTGTGAAGGGAAAAAATAACTGACAGATATTTGCACACAATATACATGGCTCATGATTTTCTACACATACACACACACACACTCACACACTCCATGAAAATGCAGTAGAAACGCGTTGGCTTCGCCGGGTAAACAAAAACATTGAACGTAACCCGCTCAGTTGGTTAAGGTGGGTTGTGGTTGCAGCTGTTTTGGCATGTTTGAAAATTCCTGGAAACAAATGTAATAAAAACTACTCGTAATACCCACACACACCCACACAAACACACCCACGCACATACCGAAAGTGCTCGAGTTTTTATTAGCTGCCAGCCTGAAGAGCTTTTTTTTCCACTTTTTTTCCATTTTTGCCCAGTTTTTATTTATTTATTTTTTTTTTATTTGGCTATGTTTAGTTTTTGCGTGCTGCACTGCACTTAAGCGTTCCTAATGAAAGAATTTTGGTTTTATTTCGCATTTGTTGCTTGTTTTAATTTGATTTTTTAGCACTAGGCTAGGAATATACATATTTCAAATTTATGCGCCCGCGTTGGCATTTTGATGGACTGCGCGGGCAAATCAAGCCAGCTGCCATCCGTTTTGTAAGTAGTTCAAAATAACTAAGTATTTTGGGCTAGTATGAAATGCAAGCACATTCCAAACAAAATAAACATAAAAATAAATAAATAAATAAAAAAAGAAAAACACACACATTTTTCGCTTAACTCTTTAAAGTTTATTTCTTGTTGTTTATTTTATAAATATTCCTGTCGATTTGCCATTTACATGTGTTGCTTAAATTTACATATACATTGGAGTAGCTTTACCATACATAGATATTTAAATATATATAAATTTGCTCAACTCGTTTTATTTGCTTTTTATAAAGCACTTTTTTTTCTTCTGTAATAAATATATACTTTTATAGCGGTTATATTTTAATTAATTTAAGCTGTGCTGCAATTTTTCGTTTAAAGAGATTTTCGCTTGTGCCTTTAATATACTACGTATATTACAATATTAACTCAGTTATTTGTTTTTTAAAGACTGTAAATATAATTGAAATATTATATTGTTTGCCGAACAAATAATTAACGCGTTATATATATATATATATATATATATAATTTTTTTTTATTAACTATAAATGATATGTATGTGGTATATTTGCTTTTATTTTTCTTTCTTTATTTATTTTTGTAATTTTAATTTTTCAGGTGGAACGGATTTTGAGCCGGGAAGCTGAAGAGAATAAATTAATGAAATTAACCAAATATCTACTATTGATATTATTCTCAATGGGCTGTAGTACTAAGTAGATATATAATATTAATATATATATATATATATATATGGTTTTTTTGTTTATTTCATGTCAACTTGTTGTTTTTTTTCGCTTGATTATTTGTATTTAATTGCATATGATATTCTGCTCAGCCCGTTTCGAGAGTTGGCTTAGAAGCTAGTTTATTTGAATACTTTGAGTTTTGCATTCAATTTAGCCGCGTTTAAATTTTACTTTGCACACATACAGTCTCTTAATAAATTTACAATACAAACGAACTCTTAATTCGACAATCTGTTTGCTGTACCTTTATGTACATGTGCCATATTCTATATTAGTATTATTACAATATATTATGTATACATTATTTGTTTCGTGTATATTACATTTTGCTCAATTTAAGCTAAACTTATGCTAAAATTCAACAGCTTAAACATGCACGCGTATGGGGAGTTAGGAAGCCTGATTGACTTAGTATTTATATCTATATAGTAGCTACAACTCTTATTTGTATTATTATTTTTTTATGATATATGTTTATATCAGCTTTAACTTTAACCAAGCCACGCGCCATAAATCAGGGCACCAGCTTTTGGCCAATTGACAAACTCAATCAAGCCAGACACCGCATCATCGCAACTCCAAATCCAAATTCAGCTCCAGCTTCAGCTTCAGCTTGAACTCCAGTTCATCCTGCTTCGAATGCTGCTGCTGCTGTTGCCTAATCTGTGTTAGCGATTCGCGTCTGTGTCAAACATGTGTCAGTGTTTGTGGCAACAATGCCAGTTGATTTTTTCGCAGTTGCCTCGTCAATGTCAGCGCTTGCCGCCACATCAAGCGCAGCAGCAACAGCATCGCGGGGCACAGCCAGCTCAGCGTCTGTCCAGTGTGTCTGGGGTGTTGGGACACAGCTGCCGATGCTCCATACATGTTGTCAATACCCTCGGCACTGAGACTCAAATCGGCTGGCGACCGCAGGAGCGAGCGGGGTGGGGCGGGGTTCATGTGGAAGAGTGGAGAAACGTTAATGGCCCTGCCGGGTTAACAGCGGAAATTGGCTAAGCTTGTCGAGTGATGTTCTGTGGGCTTTGGCTGGCTGCGTTCAAGTGATTAGCTGCGCGGTGATTTTGTGATTTCATGACTTCGTTAACTGACATATGCCAACACTTTGCTGCCACTGAGCTGAAGCAAGTACATCCATTTATCAGAGAATCAGACAGACTTGACAAACCCAAAAGAAAAGTCCCTGAAATTGGCCTTCGCTTTTCACCAAAAATATCCGGGCCGCACCTTAACGTAAAATGAATTCACATTTAATTTAACTTCTCAACTTTTGCAATTCAACATCGCTCAATTAGGCTATAAAAATAGCAAAATAGAAATGTAGACTTGATGACGTGCAGGAGGCAGAAATACACCAAAAACTTGAAGCACTTAAGCCACATTTAACTGCCTTCAGTTGGCCCACAATAGAATTTATTTGATTGTGGCCAAGTATTTACAAATCATTAAATTGCCCGAAAGCCAAGCCGAGCGTGTTTATTGATATACAATTATGCAGGGCAAAAGTTTTACCTGTGCAGCATTTTCTCTCCCTCTCTCTCTCTCTTCCTAGTTCTTTCCACTTATTTGCACAACCTTTTCCCACTGCCTTAAATTTGGTGGTCTGATTTCGATTTTTTTTTTTATTGTTGGTCTTGCGGCTTGCAAATTAGTGTGAAAATCTGTTAAACAGCTCACAATGTCCCAGAGTTACCTTTTTTTATGGTATTTTGTCCCGTCTCAAGTGGCCTGTTAAGCCGCAGCTGGCAGGGGCAAGGGCAGGGCAGGGGCACGTGGATTGTTTGCCAGTGTGGGCGTGGCCAGTGGAGCATAAATGCTTGAAATATGGCCCGTAACCCTAATCGCCGCGATGCACACACACCCACACACACACAGAGAGACAGCCACAACCACAGCCACAGCCACAGCCACACCCACACCTAGGGCAGCCCAAGAGATGAGCACATTGACTTGGCTTACCTTTTCGCTTACCGGGATTCTCAGTGTCCTCGCCGCTGTGCTCCTGCGCCCTGGACGAATGATACATTTCGGAGCTTTTCGTGCGCTTTTTTCCTAGTTTTTTTTTATGGTGGGTAAGGGGGGAAGTGAAATATTGGAATTGCGTTTTAGTTCATTTTTATGACGGCTTTCAAAAGTATCTGTACTTAATGCATATTTATAAAACTTGTAGACTTGTGGTAAACTTTGTTGCTTTTCCATTCCCAATTTCCATTTGCATTTCTTACTGGCCCCACCCCCAGTCCGTCCCTCAAAAAAATCCAGTTACAGTCTCCCATCACCTGTTTCTGTGGCGTTGACGATTTGAAACGGATTTGCATGCCAAATGAATTATTTATGCTTTTTTGCTTCCAGCTACCAGGTTTGTTTCTATTTTCCTTTTTCTACGTTTGTTTGTGTGTGTTTGTGTGTGTGTGATCCCAGCCATGCAAAGTGAAATATTTGCCGCTCATCTTAAATTTATGCCGAGTGGCTATTAAATCTCGCTTTTCACGCGCCATCTTTCACCCTTGAACTCAGCTATGCTTTGGCTTCTACAAGACCGCGAGGTTTGTGCTTGTGTTGAGATCTGGCTGGGTTGAAACCGTTAAAGCTGTGGAGCTAGAGTTGTATGGTTCTAGAAAACTAAGGAGCTACAACTATAGCTTGTGTCTAAGTTGGGAATGTATTTATGTTCTATATATTATCGAGAATTAAATCTTAATATATCTATGTTCTATATATGATCGAGGATTAAATCTGTAGTCTTGTATAATGTTTTTTTTTTTTTTTTTCAATTTTTTAAAGCTATTCCTAGAGCTCAAGCTAAACTAATTTTTAACTTTTGATGCCTTAGAAAATTTTTTAATATTGATGTATTCATCTTCAATATATAATCGACCTTCAACTCGTTAATCGAAAGTTCTTTCAGCCCCATCTCAACTTTGTAATCAAATTTCTAGCTCTTGTGTCTGCTATGATTGAGAATTTAAACGCCAATCTATTTTTTTTTTTTTTTTTTTAATATTTTATATTTCTATAACATTCTCTCCTCACTCTCTCAGACCCATGACTAGCTCTTTTCACTCACCTTTGTGTCTCGCCTCAAAGTTCTCCACATAGTTGACGGCATTTGGTGGAATTCCTGTGGGAGATTCATACGCGTCTCTAACGTAACTTCATTATAAACAAGGCATTCGATTGCTACTCACTGTACAGCTTGATGGTGCCATCTGTATCGCCCAGCGAGTTCTTGGCCACACAGCGATACGCTCCGAACTCGGCCTGTGAGAGGGGATTGATGTGCAGTTTCATGGAGCTGCGATAGGCGGCGATTTCTGTCACATTTGCCGAATATTTGCCGCCTGCAAAAATCATTTGCATAATTCAGAAAAAATAATCAACTAATTAATATATAATTGAAAATTTATGAAATGCAATAATTAAAAGCATGTCACTCGCACTGCCCGAAAGTAGGTAAAGTGTGCAAACTGGCTTTGACAGTAGAGCTGGACTGGAAAATTAATGCATGAACCGAAGTGAATGGCCATGTGGCAGCTGATAAGGGGGTCAAGGGGGCGTTGGTCTTGGCAGTTAAGAGATAGGCCAGAAACAAAGTGCAAATGAAATTTATTTATTTACATTTATGGCAAAATGGTAAATGTTGAATGAAACAATTGAGAATAAGCTGGTGGGGAATGACTGACTGACAGATACTGTGGACTGTATGAGTAGGAAGAATACATTTATTTATTTATTTATTTTATTTTATATTCTTTTTTTTTAATGTTTATTTATATATATACATATATTTTTATAAATTTTTAATAAACATTAGCGGCTTAGGGCTTTGCCTTTAACGTAAAGAGAAATTAAATCAATATATTTTGTAAGACTCTGAAAAATAAAAAATAACGAAAATCTAGCTTAAGAGAATAGAGGGTTTAGGATGAAAATGTCACAGATGGTTAAAGGGTATATTTGATGGATTTCAAGTCCAAGAGCCTGCTTAGTTTGTCTTCACAGTTGGTGGCTCAGTTGGCTCAGTTTGTCTTCACAGTATTGACGTCTAAGTCTTTTCCTGGTTCTAGTCCTGACGATAGCAAATCTTTGGACGTCACTAACTAATATAGCCTGAGCGAGTATCTAGTTTCGCAATTTATTCAATCCTTCAATATATATATGAAACAATGATTTAAATACTGTAATAACAACATTCCCATTTTTAATGGGTTCTACGTATATGAATGTAAGTTTACGCTAAGAAAAATTTATAGAAATATCTAAGTCGAGTTTCATATGAAATTCATTTCTACTCTCCAAGATTTGGTTGGATACACAAACAGATCTAGAAGTTGTAATACTTAGAAAAATATATATAAACGGTTTCTCGACTACTTTCTTCTGCCCATATCACACATTGCCATAAGCCTATATACCCGTTTTAGAATGCATCCAAGGTACAAGTCATTAATGGCTCTTCTCGATGCTGCAGTGGCCGACACTCAGCTTCAGCGGACAGACACACATGTCCCAGACAGAGAAACCGCTGAAGTGTGGCTGGCAAACGTCATTAGGTCTGGTTTGGCTGGGAATCCTCTATCCGGGCTCTATGTGTGTGGGTTGGTTTCAAATGTAATTCGCACTCGTATTACTAAATCAGCTAATTAAAAAGTTTTTTCGCGCGAGCTCTGCACTCAACGGTCATCAGCTAGCTGGTAATTCGGTTTGGGTTAGCATTAGCCTGTTAAGGGTCGTTATCCATTGGGACTCTATAGCAGACACACGCACACATATACACAAACACATGAATGGGCTGTCGCCTGGTAATGCGTTTGTCGCGGATTATGAATTGCTTAATGATAATTTTCATTTGCATATTTGACAGTAAAATGTCAGCCAGCTGGTTTCCAGCTGAAATATCGTTGAAAACTATATTTGATATTTCAAATACACGTCACTTGGTTGACTTTAATTGTATTGGTATATTATACCAAAATCAGTTAGTAATTTTTAGTTTTTACAAATCCATAAAAAGTGGCAAAGCTCTAACAGGAATATTATTGGTAGTTTACTATATTTTTGGTTTATATCCTAGGTGATTCATTTACCTGGTGGCACAATTTCTCCACGTTCACGTGTCCAGTAGTTGATGGACTTGGGATAGGCTTCCGATTGGCATTCCAGTGTAACTCCTTTACCTTCCACGGCGCCTATTAATTGATTCTGCACACTGATCATGGGAGGAACTGAAATGAGATAATATATAATTTAAATAATGAACAACCTATTCGTTTGCTTTGTAATCTATTATTCATCTATTATTAATTGGTATATTTATGTACTTACAATGCACTACGAGAGTTATCCTCTTGCTTACAGAGGGCGGCACTCCATTCGAGGCAATGCATAGATAGGCGCCCATATGCTGACGCTTCACTTGAGGTATGATCAGATCAGTGCCTTCAATGCTGGCCACTATTTATAGGAAATAAGCGAAATTAACGAAATTATAATTAATTTTATGTAATTTAATTATATTTTCGATTGTTTTATTATTCTCTCTCGCTCTTTTTCTCTATCGATTCTCTTTTTGCGAATTTTACATTATTGTATTAAATGCCATAATCATTGGATCCTTTTCTTTAGTCTCAACCGTAATAATACATTTCATTCTACTTTCATCACAAATTCCTATAATACTTCATACTTGCTGAATTAATTATATATTAATTATATATATAATTTCATTTAAATAAGTCTTAAAAATATATAGTATAATAACACATAATCAAATTATATAAAGCTCCAGTTACATTAATATAAAATAATAAAATACAAGAATAATAAATTAGTGAAAAAATCAATAATAATAAATTATGCGATCAAAATAGCAAATATTTATTATTAATATGATATATAATAGTTTAAATAATTAAATTTTGACTTAATAAATAATAAATTATATACTAATAATAGTCATAATTTTCCTACTGTTTATTTTAAATTTACTTTTGACTCTTAAATGAATAAATTGTTGCTCAGTATATACATATTATACCATACATTTTTTTTTGTAATTTTAATTTTAATTTTTTCGAATTATTTAAAAATATTTTTGTTGCTTTTTGTTTTTTGTTTTTTTTTTTAATATAACATAACATTTTAACATAAAATAAAATATAATAATAACACATGAAATAAGTATAATTTTTTTACAATTATTATAATATAATTTATGATTTGATAATGCTAATTAATATGCTCTCTAAAACACTTTAATTAATCGAAATACTATTCCAAAGTGATTCCATTTAGTACGCTGAACAACAGTTATCTGTCAGACTTGTCTTGTCGCAAATAATCCTTTCCATGCAATTACAGCAGCTGTAACGGGAAATGTGTCTACTGAATGTAGCTACACAAACTGTTTAGCCATGTAATGATAGTTATTACATTTTGCTAAGCTCTTTTATGCATTTGGGGTACGCCCAACTAGTAGTTGGCCATTCAGTTTATTTTGCACAACAAAAGTTGCATACAAAAGCGCAAACTTTTAGCGACTTTTATGATGCTGGGCACCCCGATTGCGAAGTGGCCTACACAAAGGACGACGACGCCTGGCATGAGGGAATTAGATGGGCTGGCTGTGAGCTTTACGCAAATATCCTGTTTTGAGAGTCGAACTCGGTTTTTATTATATAAATTGCATAGTAGTTGGTTGGCTAAGCCGGTAGCAGCCCAGACTGCAAGTGCATCATGATGATGATATGGTTATGCCCTCTATCTTTGTGTCTGTGTGTGTGTGTGTGTGTGTGTGTGTGTGTTTGGGTGCAACGGAAGCGGAAGTGTTGGCTAGTTTGCGCTTGATATAGTTATGCATGAGGTGGGTAGCGGATAGCGGGAAATACTCCTACGGCTAATAAGCTGATATTTCATTTATTGATTTCACTCAGGTCACAGGTCACCGGCAGTCGTTTCGGAGTTCGTCTTTAATGCGAGCATAGAGCCATCGCATTGCTTATTAGCCACACATTTTGTGCGGTCATTAACCGTAATAGCCACGAAAAAACGTGTAATTTTGTTGAAATGAACAGCAAAGTCGTGCCACGCTAAAACAGCATAAAAATATACGAAATTGGAAAAACTACAGTCGGGCGCCACGATTTCATTTGAGCAACCAAACCAAATAATCAAATTTCAAATGAAAAACGAAACTTTTACCCCGCTAACGATGCAGGCAATTTGAAAACAAAAAGAACTTCGTTATTGCTTTCAACAGAAAACCGCACTCAAAATACGCTTAAAAATTCATAAACTGCTGAAGGCAGGGATAATTTTTCATTAAAATTTCTTCTTGAATAATAACATTTATTTTATTTTGTTTTATTTTTTAATTTTACTTATATTTCCTTTTTTTTTTTAATATGACTTATATTTATTTTATTTTATTTTATTTTTTTAATTTTACTTACGACAAGCTCGAATAAAAATTATATTTGAAATAAATAATTTATTTTTCTTTATATTTTACACTTGACATTCCTTTAAAAATGGGATCTGCTAATATTGTTACTTTATGGGTTTTAATAATTGTTTAAATTTGAATACTTTATCCTGAAATATGTTTTCATCTGTTTTTACACCTATTAAGTATATCCTTTTCTGATACTCTTATAAAATCACTTGTTTCGACAAATATAAAGCGGAAGATCATTTAGACATCTTGTTTAAAAATTCGCTACATTTTTACTCCACTTTTTTTTATTTTTTTTATAAAATATAAAATTAATTGAATTTCTACAAATTTTAAAACCATAATTTTAAATATTCAAACAACCCTTTTTGAGCCACACGTACACGTTAAGCTTCTATATGTAGATATATAATGAATAAACATCAGCACACAATCATCTAGAGCAGATTATAAAAAGCATGGCGGGCACTTCAATGGCACAACTGGACAGCCCTCAATAGGGTAGCAGACATTTAAGCTCTGGTGAAAAGGTCATTTTGCCAACTTTTGTTCTATTAATGCTGATTTTTTGACCGCTTTTTTTTTATTTTTAACTTTTTTGTTTTTACATTCCGTGGCTCTACACTTTTTTTTGTGCTATGGAGCCTTTGATATCGGCCTTTCGTGTGGGTCTTTGATGGGGCTCGACCTGTTTATGTGGCATAGCTCATGCAATGGACTACACTGAGCGAAATTAATAATCCCATATGATATGCTTGCCTTAATGAGTTAGCAGCTTAAGAGCTTAGATAATGCTTGCCAGCTAATTCAAGCAGAAATGCATTGACAGTGCGACAGCAGATGAAGGGAACATCAAGATGCAAATGATAAACATGTTTATTCATGTCTGATAGTCTGTGAATAACAAGAGACCTAAGAATGAGTGTTGTGAATATTGCAAGAATAATACGAGATGCATTTCAATGAGTTCGTTTGGACTCAGAAGTATTTGCTAAGAAATGCTATAGTCAAACATTTATATCTGATAAGAACGCAGTCACCACTCATCATGAATATAAAATATCTAGGAAAAAATTTTTTTTTTTTAAATTTTGCATTCCTGTTCAAATGAATTCAAATGAATTCAGAAATAAATGTATTCATGGATTATTATTATTATTTTTTATTTTTTTTTAGTGAAATTATGACTATTGGTAATATACATTACATGTGCAATAGTCATATATATTATATATTATATATAGTATATATTAATGACAGAATACTTGAGTATATACATGAGTGTATTTATGAGTATATTCAACAATACATTGTTAAGTGCAGACGATAATGAGTGTATTCACACAAGGAAAAATATGTATTCACCAATAAAAAACGTAGTGAATATAATCAACATAGTGTATTCATATTTTTATTCAGAGCTATGAAGCTAGACGCATTCATGCCCAGAGAAAAAAGCTAATGAGTGGCTTGTCATATCAGTGAATTTAAAAGTAATGAATATATTCACACCAAAAATAAACATTTTTACATGAAGTTAATTGCAGAGAACATACATAAAAAATGATTATGAATGCATTACGTAAAGTCATGTTCAGCTTTTCATGAATATTTGATTCAGAATATTATCCCTTTCTATTTTTGGAATGTTTAAATTTGTTTCATTTTTTTTATCCCATGTGCGATTCATAGAATCATTGTTTCATATAAAAACATTGTACTCTAGAGCTTCTTTATAAATACATAGAGACTATTCGTATATTTGCCAAATTATTGTCAATTTAAACTAATTTTAGTATAGTTAAGCTACCATCATAAGGTTTAGTGGGCTGCATAACAACTAAATGACGCCTAATCAAATCATCGGCAAACAATTGAGTTCTTAAATTTGGAAACACGAGACCCATTCAAGGCCAATTAGAATGGGAATGGTTAGGACATGTGTAGGTTCGACCCGCTGGCCACTCGCTAATTCTGTCAGTGCAGCCATCAAACGTCATCATCGGCATAAGCTGGTGGCCGGCTACGCGTCGACACCAACACATCGACACTCGCGAAAATATGCTGGTTTGCAAACTGGCTGGGAACAGGTGCTCAGGTGCTTTGGCCACGTAGCCACGTCGCCAGTGCCTGCCTGCTGTGCACTTGTCTGCTGGGCCATAACCCAGCCGTTGGCTACCTTTTTGTGTAAAAGTACTCCAAAATGTTGGCGGGCGAACCTCATGCAGCACAGCCGGCATTCGGCAGTCGGCAGTCGATGGCGATGGCAGCGCAACAGCAGAATGTACTTACCACTCACACATACACCCACACACACACACACACACATATATATATATAATTATACAACTGTGTGTGTGTGTAGAGAGAGACGGGGGGAGAGAGAGAGAGTCATGCATGCATATGACCATGGCGATACTCCAAACCCAAAAACTTTGCCCCATTGCTGACTTACCCTCCTCGCCGTTGGCCAGCTCAATGGGCACTCCACTTTCACGTCGCCATGTAATTGTCGGCTCTGGTGAACCGGTAGCAGCGCATTTGAGCGTCACGTTACTGCCCTCCCGTACGACCATGTCCGTGCTTGTAGGATAATCTAGGATATCCGGCGGTACTGCAGCAGCAGCAGCAGCAGCAGCAGCAGCAATCGGGTTTGGCATTCCAATCGAGGCCGCCAGACGGTCGACGTTGCAGATAATGTTTATAACAAATATTTAAAAAAAAGAAGAAGAATGCCATTACATAATACATGAAAAGAGAGAGAGTGAGAGAGAGGAACATATATAATATGAGCTGCATTCGTATTGTATTTAAAAATGTTTTCTTTAAATTGCATTTAAATAATTTGCACTCATTTTTCACTCAGCTGGCAATCTGATTCATATTCATGCGTCCCCAAAGATATCCTTGCCACGGCACAAATGCATCCTTGTCTGCGCCTTTGTTCAAAAGGACAAACTTTTCACACACACAAAAAAAAAAGGTAGAAAAACAGCACAAAAAGAACAGAAAAAAAATTATATATACACGTAATATGACCACGACCACAGCGGGCAATGTTTGCGACCTCAGCGGAAAACCTATGAACCAGGAAAACGTAATAATGCCGTTGAAATATCAAGGGGCGGGGCGGTTTGGAGCAAGCGAAATGAACAATGAAGGCAGGGCTGGACAGGGCTGCGCAGGGCATGCAGTGGGTGCAGGGGGAATAGGCGCCTGTTGTATAGGGATATAATATGCCGCAATTATGTGGTCAGTAAATGACCAAAAAATGTGCTGGTGTTGACAAACAGCTTGTTATATGGGGAGACCGAGAGAGTCAGAGAGAGACAGAAAGAGAGAGAGAGAGAGAGAGAGAGAGTGACTGGGAGAGAGTATAAAACTCTGACGCATCCAACTGTGCGCTCGGAACTGCGCTAACCACTGAACGGTCATTAAGTGGCCAAGGTTAGAGGTAGAGCAAGGAGTAGAGCAAGGGCTTGAATGACCAGGGATCAAAATTCAATAGGACTGGCTTTGAGCAACGTAGCGCAACAGTCGCACGGACAGAGAATTGCAATGCATATACAAGGGGTAACAACTCAACTGACTGAGAATCGAATGGAGAATATACAAAGGAATATGCAATGCTTGAAGCACCAGAAAGTTGAAAATAATATAACATATTTAACATATTAATTAATGCTGGTAGCGAAACCCAATTTGTACGAATTTCAACTGAACTTATTGAATATGGCTGAGAGTGGAGTGGGGAAAAAGTACGAAATAATGTGCAATGTTTGAAGTGCTATAAACTATACAAAAGTGTATATTCATAAAATTAATTAATGTTTAACAAAAAATTTTTATAAGTTCTCTTAAAAAATCAAGGAGCCAACATTTACTTATAAATATATATTACATTTTATATTTTGTATTTTGTATTTTATAATTTATATTTTATATTTTATATTTTATAATTTATATTTATATTTGTTATTTTATATTTTTATGCTCCACAGTTTGGGGAAGATATAATAATTGTAGTAAAATATTTAAATAAAATTAATGATAGTTCTGTGTAATAAAAAAAATTCAATGAACATAAAATAATTTTTTTTTCACTTTTCAGGCTCAATGAACAAATATGAACTATTCCAGGACCAAATGAGTCAAGTATGCCTAATCAATGAATGCCAATTTTATTTTTTTATTATTATTATATTGATCTTTTATTTTAGGAATACATTTATATACGAGCTGACAAATAAAAATCAATTGAATACAATAAATATGAAACGATTAAATTACTATTGACATCTTTAACTGATTTGCAGACAAATAATTTATGTATAAATATATTTATACAAATTTTGGCAAATCGGAAAATGAATTTGAAAGCATTTGGGCAATGAATGAGTATTATGCAGTCGTTAACGCCCGATTGCCATGCTCCTGCTTGATTGTCAATTGTCATTTTTAATGTTTGTTTAATAAGCAAAAATGATTGTGTGAACAAATTTGTGAGCTGCAGCGCGTTCATCAGCTTAAAATTCCAACCAGAGAGTCGAATGGCTTTTGTATGACAGCGAGTGTGGCTGGGTGTGTATGTGTGTGTGTATGAGTGTACGAATGCGTATATATGTATGTGTGTGTTTGGGAAACGGCATTCAAACGGACGTCGCTGGCAAGCAGTGCGACCGCTGCCGTCCGTCCGTTTGTCATCGGCTGTTTAACTGCACTTGGTCACGAAAATCATCAGCACCCACAGTCGCCCGCGCCGCCGCTGACCCCTATGGAACGGTGCTCGTTCCTTTTCCTGTTGCTGTGGTGCGCTGATTATCCACTGCAAATACACACAGTTGATTATAGTTTTTCGTGTTGGGCGCAGAGCGCAAGTCCCGGGGCTTCGCGGCGGCTCTAAAATATTTAGCGCGTTGATTTAGATTTGCCAGCGAAAGGTATTTAGCCAGTTCGCTGCAGAGTGGCTAGTTCTAGGTGGGACGTGTAGAGGGCGTGGGCGTGGGCGTGGATGTGGATGTGGAAGAGGGGATGCATTTGAAGACCACAAATGGACAACCAGCTGGCAGCAGCTGCCGTTTCGTAGGCCGGACGCATTTCTTGGCTTCGCATTCGGACCGGGCGCCGTTTTAATTCAAAATCAACAATTTGTGCGGTTCAGTGGACGGTTAAACATGTTTAAGCAGGGGAGCTGAGCCAGAAACCGTGTAAGGGGGGGCGGGTCGGGCGCACGTTGGTATTAGCCAGCGAAATTTCATAAACCATGCAGCTCACTCCGCTTCGCTCTAGCAGAAACGTTTTGTTGGCACCGTTGCTGCACTCGTATATATGAATATATACTTATACACATATATATATATATATATATTTATTTATATTTTTATCGTAGTTTTTATTCGTTGAAAACCGAGTGCGAACAATAGCGCGCCGCCCTGGCAACGAGGCGTATGATTGTTTGCCAAACGAAATGGAAAAGGCAAAAGTGTTTCCTTTTTTTTTTTTGCATTTTCTGCATTCTTTTCTGGAAACTTCTTTCTCTGCTCACTTACCAACAACGTCCAGGTAGCCCATTTGGCTTTTCATCGGATCCGTATTTATTTGGCACATATACCTATAAATATCGCATACAAATTATTAAGCTGCTTAATTCGGCTGCCCATTCGACACCTACCAGCCCCTGTCGGACTCCTTGATGTCCCTGATGCGCATCGTCCAAGTCTTGTGCTCCGAGTTGGCAATGCCAATCCGTTGATTTTTTGTTATTACATGATTCTGTATCGTCAAAATCGTTTGCGTATCGACACGTAGCCATGCCACCTGTGTGGGAAGAACAACATAATTGCTTTATTTAAGTGGGCGTTTAACAGACAGTTAAATATTACTTATGTATGTGAAGGAGAAAATGCTTGAGGTAAGTTTGGTCTATATGCAAAGATATTATATTTCATATATGCCATATATGGGAGTGGACATAATATATGACATGAATTGACATAGAGCAGGTTTTTGAAGGGAATGCTTATAAAACGGAATATCATATTCAGAAATGTTTATTTGTATATTTAGATAACATTTAATTAATTAACAATTTAATTTATATTATTAATGGATTTAATTATTATTTCTTAAATGAAATTAAATAAAAATTATACATTAAAACTGATTTTAACTATAGCGTTAAATAAACATATTTATTTAAAGTATTTCACTATTGTTTTTTATATATTACAATTTGTTGCGAGAGTAGAAGAAATACAAATATTAATTGTATAAGTAATTTAAACATTGGTTTTTTTTTCTTTGTTAAATTTATAGTTGTTAAGAAGGTTAAGGTTAAGGTTAAGTCTAAATTCTTGAAATTATATGGAAAGCTGCAAGAATTTATTACATTAAATAAAGTTAATATATAAATAAAAATAAACTTCATTTATTTTAAAAGATTTTATTTTCTTTTGCATTTCGATTCGAGCCGAATCTCACTCAAATTAGGTTTGACGGCTTACAAAAAGGAATTTCCTCTTACAGGGCTTTACAAATGTCTTAGGATATATCTCATTAATTTAAGCTTATATTAAAATTTTAAAATAATATTAAATTAATAAACTCAAATTAAAAAATAAAATAAACAAATTCTCTTTTTTTTCGAAAAAAAAAAAAAATCAAATTTAATTAGTTAAGTTGCTTTACTTTGATTTTAAAAATCTATTTAGATAGTTTTGAAATTACTGTTAAATCCGTTATTCTTCCTTTCTTAAAATATTATATATCTTTTTATAAACACTCTAAAAATACCCCTTTCTATGTATTATTTGTACTCCCATTTTATTATACTCTAAATATATATTTAAATTGATTGCATTTAAAAATACGTTGTATACCGTCAATTAATTGTCTAATTTACGTTCCTCTAGTACTATTAAATCATGGGCATGCACTGAACCACAATTATATGAAATTCTATTCCAAGAATTATATCAAAATATTTAAGAGTCATATTAGCTAGCTGCTTGAGCTTGTCACGCACACATACACACACACATGCACACCCATACTCTTGTAATTGTACAATTACGCGGGTAAATTATTATGCGATAAAGCACGCAGCATGCAATCTGAGCCTTGGTATATACACATTGGGCATTTAATAGGCAGTCAGGTTCACAGGTTCCCAGAAATTCCATAACCCTTTCAGAGACACACGCACACACACACAGACAGACAGGGGCTTGCATGTGTAAATGTGTCGGAAGTCGGAAAACAATTTGAGGGCTCAGCTGAGCGAACATGTTAACACGTCAAGTTATATTAGTTAATTTCGACTTCAATTTCAGTTGACATAGATATATATGGATATAATATACGTATATATCGACGGCTAATAAATTATTCAGCATGAAATTTAACTTTTGGTTCTGGAAAATAACCGAAATGCTGTCAGCATATAATAAGTAATTATACCCAAGTGCCTGCTCAATTATCTTTAAGCAGCATAACGCTTAATTGTGCATGTGGATGGAGGTATTGATGTCGGATTAGGGGAGCTATACATTGTTGTTGTTGCTGATAGAACAAAGCTTTGCGCTTCAGTGCTGCTTTACCTTTGGCTTTTGAGACATCACACAATTCCCTGCCATAGAGAGTGAGGCACAGATATGGAGAGCGAGACAGGTGAAATGATGAAGCATGAGTCGAACCCCTAAACAACCATCATTGCCTTGAGCCCCCCTTAGAGCAGTGCTCGAGTTGGACTGCCTCCCCGCTCCGCTGCTTAACACATTCGCATTCATATTTCAATTACTTTTTATGTGATTTTCGCTTTGTTATTGCTAAGCTCTGCATATTTGTATTTATGTTTTGTTTTGTTTTTCTTTCTTTTTGCTTTTGTATTTTCACTTTCATTTCCATTCCCTTCAATTGGGTTGTTCGCGTCCGAGTCCGTGTCCGTGTCGGAGTCGGTGTCAGAGTCCGAGTGTTGAGATTTGGTCTTTGAGATTATACGACGACCGTCTGGCTGTAGCTAAAATGCTAATGAATATTAATGCGAACGGTTGGGTTTCTGTGGCTGCTTATTGAGTGTGTAATTGAGCTGAGAGGGCAGATGCCGAGGGCGCTATGAATTGGTATATATACCAAATATATATATATGTATGCATTGGGGGTTATCTGTGATTTGATGGAGCTGTTTCGTACCTTATACGGTCCCAGGTCCTGCACGACGCATGTGAGGAAGGCGTCACGTCCCACCGGCGCTGTCACATTTGCAATGGGATAGCTGAACTTGGGATCAACTGTAATAAAGCAGAGGATTCATTTTGTCATATTAATAATCTCAACGAATCTATGTTAATTGGCAAATCGAAAAAAATAATACACAGACGACAATTGAACACGCCCAACAAAGCCAATTTAATGTGAATCATATCATTTTGTTTTGATATCACCTATTTGGATTTTGTATACTTTAATTTGAGTGTATGAATTTCAGATATTTATTGCGGTATTAATTGTCGCATTCTATTGGAGGATTATATTGCATTGTTTAACTATTGAATGGTGTTAAACTGTGAATTCTTTTTATTTTTTTATTTTCTGTGCATCAATTTACTATTATTTTATATGTGTATTAATTAATTAATAGTTGTTAATCTTATATTATTGTTATTTTATGTTATTTAGAAAACATTTATATATTTTTTAACGAACATTTACCTACATATATTTCATATAAAAAGGCTGGCTTACATTAATTGAATTAATTAGTCAATTGATTTACTTATTGAGTGAATTTATTTCCAGTAACGGGTGGTGTAATTGAGAAAGGGATTCGTAGGTAAATTTTGTTAAGAAAATAAATAAAATACGAAGAAGTGTTTTACTTCAGTTTTAGAATGCAGATTTTATTACTAATGAAAAATGTATAAGTGTTTGTAGATAGAATTGCCCTAGAGTCGAAAGATCCATATTATTAGTGCAATAAGAAGAGGCAATCAAAATGAAAAGAAAATAATAATAATAATAATAATAATAAATAAAATAGCTAATAAATAAATGGCATGTCTCCATATAAAATAAAATACTAAATGCTTAAATTGATCAATTAATAAAATATTTAAACTTTTATGTTGCATATAAAATATATGTATAAAATACTGTTTTACAAATGTATCTTTTATTGTTTAATATAATATTATTATTCTTATTTGATTATTATGATTTGCATTTTAGCATGAATTGCTATGATAACATTTTTTCATGTTTCATATAAAAAATATTCAAAAAGTTTTTAGTTTAGTTTTGAATATTTCTGATATGCATTTTAATGTTTCAACCCAATAATATTTTGTTTCATTTTTTTAATTTACTTACCAATTACTTCGGCTGGCACGTCGACTCTCTGCGTATCGCATATCTGGCACAAAAGCGAGAGAAGCACCAAGGTATTTATGGCATGCGCCCAGGCATTGGCCGGTGCACGTCTCTTGATGTATTTGATGAGCATTTCGTAGTTGTGCGTGTTACTCGATTTTATTTAAAATTGAGGCAAAGCTCACATGTTTAGTCAGAGCTGTAACTGAACGGAATGCGAAACTGTAAACTTGAACTCTGGCAGTGGCCGGCGAGGGGGGGGTTGAGTAAGGCTCAGTGACCTAGGCATCCGGCTAGGCTGTTAGGCTGCTCTCTATAAACATTTCCGACCTGATAATTGGCAGTCATTAGCGCGCCTCTATTGGCATAAAGTTTCGGTTTTGCTGTTGTTATTTATGCGTGCAAACAGCGAAAAGTTCAACAGCAAGTGCTTGAAAATAGAATCGAAACTCGCCAAAACAAAGGCACAGGCACAGGCACAGGCACTGGCACTGGCAAAGGCCAAGCAGACCAGAGCCGGGCTAGGCTGGGCCAAACTGGTCTGCTGGCTGGGCAAACAATCGTAATAATGCCGTCGAAAATGCGCTAAATTAAAAAGTTTCAAGTTTAAAGCGCCCATTGGTACCCGTTGCCTGCCTTCCGCCTTTCGTATTCCGATTCCCGGTTATTCTCCTGCCAACTCCTAACTATAATATATGCCGACTATCAGCTCTGGTCGAGGACTTGAAGCTGCCAGCAGTAAAGAGTTTTGCGTGTTCGGGCTCTGTAAATTGTATAGGCGAGCAGCTGTTTGAAATTAACTCCGTCCCGTGCAACTATCTGGCGAAGGTGTTGCATGTTGCTCGACCTCGATGGCCTCCCGCTTATTCCTGTTGCCTCTGCTCATTTCATTCCATTTGGCCTCTGCCTTAGCCATGGGGCCCAAACTGTTTATGGAACGGAAATGAAATGTTTCGTTTGTGCTGCATAGTCCAAATGTGTGTGTGTGTGTGTGTGTGGGCTGCCTAACTGCATCGTATGGATCGTAAATAAAGCATAAAATCGTGCAGCACTCTATATAGAAGTCGCCGTTCGTCTGAGCCTGGAAATAGTTGCGCTTTATAGTTGCCTTCGCCGTGTCTATTACCTAGTCTTAGTCAGGCAGCTGAGTGCATGTGACATGTTAGCCATATAGATATAGCCCTGACGCAATGCAGCTGTAATTGGATGCCGTTGCATGGGAGTATAGCACTTAATCACGTTCAATTTTCCGAGATACCTTAGATAGCATTATAATATTCAGTAGAAGTTTTGATGGCATTGCCATTTGATGTCATCTCCACTCGATTGATCTGAATTGAACTGAATGAGAGAGAGAGAGAGAGAGAGAGAGAGAGAGAGAGAGAGTCTGAGAGTCTGAGAGTGAGCAGTTGATCTTTAGCTGTTTAGAGTTGAACATATACAATATAGAGAGAGCTGCAAGAAATGTGATTTGTCTGTTAACTATATTGAAATCCATATTGGACTACATTATGTGAGAATCAATAATTCCATCTTTAATATGGGCTTACAAAAAGGAAAGAGTAGATATGGCAGCTGATCTGTGCATAGAAAATCTTTGCGGAGCTGAAATATATTTCAGATTTTTAAATAGGCTTAAGAAATGATTTTTTGTTCAATTAAACTTCCACTAAAAATATATATATTTTATTTGATTTATTATTATTAAAATAAATATATATATAAATAATGTAAATATAGTAAATATAAATTCATATCATATAAAATAATATATAATAAATAATATAATTGATATAAAATACATATATTTGATTTATTATTATTAAAATAAATATATGTATATAAGTAATGTAAATATAATTAATATAAATTCATATCATATTAAATATAAAATAATACATAATATCCTATAAAAACGTGATAGAAATAACTTAATTTGTTATTTTAGCTTAGCACGGACACAACCTTCAGAAGAGTCAAATATAAGAACAGTTTAGTATATACTAAAGCCTATTAGTCACATATAAAATTGTGTCTCTAAAAAATATGAATTTAACAACTTTTAACTGCACAGAAACAAAAATCTGACAGATTGTTGAAGATTCAATTTATTATAAATTTATCAGGTTATAGTATTAAGTTGCAAATTCTATTCAACTCGTATATCATAGAAGCAATTCCAGTTGAATAGCTTAAGACAAGTGTCTGTGCGATGATAAGTCACTCAATCAACGATGCATTTAGACAGAAGTCTAATGTGAAACAAAAACTCACTGATTTCTCTATTTGGGCAACATTTTTAACAAGCTAACAAATGTCCGAAACAGAAATCTATGTGAGCAAATAAATAAATATGACATTTCAATGTGGAATAAAAGTTGGCTTTGAATTCTAATTTAAATTTATGGCATGTCAATGTTCAATCAGAGAAATGTATTATGCAACAGCTCGAACCGGCTCTTCCTTTCCTTTGCACATTGACAATTTGCCTCGAATTAAGTTTAATTTCCAGTTACATGAATGAAAAAAATAAAATGGAAAAGAGAGCCGCAATGCCAATTAGCTGAACAAACAGAATCGCAGGCGACACACGGAGCCCTGCTAGGGCTTCGGCAAATGGGATTTACATGGCCAATACTTCCAGCTAATAGCGAGGGTATTAGCATGAGCCAGGCATCAGTCTGGCTACGGCTACCCCGGCTGTCTCACCTGCCAGCCAGCTCACCTGTCCATGCAACTAAACTGACATGGGCCGCAAGCTCTAAATTATTAATAATATTGCTAGGCCTATTTAGTAGACAGTTTTAGTATGGTCTCTTGGCCGTTGCCTTGGCTTGCCTTAGCTTCAGTAGTCGAGTTTTCAGGACAGTCAGCAGAGTCCTCGGGCCTCAGGACATGCAGTGTGAACGAAGGACAAGCACACGCAGGAGAAACTTTGCTTTCAATTGCAGGTGAAAATCAATACAAAACAAAGACTGGAAAAAAAAGTATGTTATATACGACAACACTAAGAATTTTAATGAAATGTCATTTTAAAATTGTTTCTGTCGGTTGCGGCCTACGAGTAGAAAGTTGACTTTAATGCCAGCCAAGGGTTTTTTCGGCTCCTGCTTTGAAGCCGTTTCACATGCAATGGTTCTATCTATAGATAGCGAGTGAATGGACTGTAGTAAAACCCTATAATTATCTGTAGATATAATGAAAGTGTCTTATAATTAACTAATTAGCTGTAAACGATTGGTGTAGATATCTAGTGAATCTGATGAACATATTGAATTAAGGCAACAGAACGACAGCAACTGAATACTTTCGAAGACATATAAAGTAGCTTATGCAGGAATTACAGTATAATATGGCTATAACGACTCCGCTTATAGCGTCCCTTCGGTTATTGTGGCTTAAGTTCTGATCCCCAGATAAACTTAAAAAATTAAAATTTAAAATTTGAAAACTTTGAATTGCGTTGATAAAATATGTTTGCTTCTGTGGCAACTAATAGAATGTTTGCAACAGGAAGCCTCAAATGAAATACATTTTGCGAAAAGAGTCAAGAGTCCTTTGCAAGGATAGATCCGGTGAGAGTCTATGTATTTTTCAAAGTTACATTATGAAATTTAGAATATTCTTACAACGATATATTTAAGTATCTAATTAAGTTTGAAAAAATATTTAATAACCGTAACATTTATAATATGCATAATAATAATATCTCAATTATAATGGACGAATGGGCTGTGCACAGCTGTCTCAAAACTAAACTAATTAAAAAAATATATAGAATTAATTATATAAATAAATAATAATAATAAAATACCTAATTCAATAATTAATGAATCCTCTTGACAATATTTTTATTTATTTTAATTTAAGTTTTGGTTTTATTTGTAAATATTTCCCTATAAATTATATACAAATTCATAACTACTTATAAACAAAATTATGAAATTTAAAAACAATATAAATATTTAAAAAAATTACATATAAAATAAAATTACTGTCGATATTTAAAGCTAAATATCTAGCTTAGCTTGCTTAAAGAAAATCCGCAAAAGTCAGTTGTACGCTTCAATTTTGGCAAAAATAAATTCAGTCTTTATTTTTTATATGAGCAGACTGGCCAAACCACGCGCAGCTCTCTGGCTTATTCAAATATTTTTCTGTTTGGTCAAAATTTATGGCTCATAATAAGCGCTACTCATGGAATTTTGTATATCGCACTGGCCGTGGGTCGGCCGCTCGTATATTATGCTTATTGCTTCGAGCATGCAAAGTCGAGAGACCGGCCGTGCAGAGCTCAGCTATATGCCGTACAATTTGTATAATCAGCTGCTAAATGATGTGCAAATTGTGTGTGTTCAAGTATTGTGACTGCCAGAGAAAATGATGAAACTGTTGCTGTTTTTGTTGCTATTGTTGCTGTTGTAGTTGTTGCTGCCACTGCTGATGTTGTCATTTAGCACACAAAGCACCCAAGGTCATATTGAGGCGTGTTTGCATTAACGCGCTTGAGGCTATGCAGCAGCAGCAAAAAAAAAAAAAAAAAAAAAAGAGAAGAACAAAAATACCAACTGCTCCATAAATGGGGCAAACGAACCGCACACGCACTCTTGCCTCAAGCGAATGCCCCAAATATTCAATTGAGTACAACTTATTGCATACATTTTCAATTTGCAACAAACACAGACACGCACACACACACACTCGTACACACATTAATTAGCACGTGATATATTTCGTTTTTATCGCGATGCAACTTCGACATTTTTCAAAAATCATTTTCATCAAAATTTGCATACATTGCTCTCACTCCCTCTCTCTCTCACTCTCTCTCTCTCCCACTCTCTGTATGTGTGCTCGGAATAAATGTTCTACTGCCCGCTGGCGCCTTGAGGTATGCAACGTTTTTTGCTCACTTCCTCTTTCTCTCTCACTCCCTCTCTGTCTACCCTTTCTGTCTTTCTCCTTCTGTCGCTCGCGCATACACAAGCGCCTTCAGCACGGAAGTTGATTATTATCGCTTGTTATTAACAACGCCAACAACAACAACAACGACAGCAAGTGGCATAATAAGCCAAGGGAGTTGCCTGCACTTTGTGCCACATCATGCCAAAGAGTCCGTTCAGTACTAAAGAGACGAAGGTGGAGCTGAAGGAACCGAGCAGGGCAAGAAGGTCGGGCAGCTTTCTTTTTGCCATTCTGTCTAAATACTGGAGCGAATTTTTACTGATATCGACTGAGGACGTGGACTCGGACTCGGATTCGAACTCGAACTCGGACTTGTCGTGGGTCTCAATGTATAACAGCCGCTGTAATGGAGCTGGAGCCAGTTGATATGCATATGTATATATGCGATATGTGCATGAGTGTGTGTGTTGTTGTCTGCTATCTGGTTGCATGATTTGCTGCTTCCTCTACTCAAATGGCTGTCACTTGTATTTAGTGTATCTCACAAGGCAAATATTATGAATCAAAATTGGAAATTCTCGTTCAATTTACAGCTCTGAATTTAAGGTAATCTGTTTATAAATTCCATTGCAGAACAAAACTTAATTGATTACAATTCATGGAATCATGGAATGTAGTCGAAAACAGCATGGGCCTTATCTAAAGTTAACAACTTGTGCACACTGGGATTTATGTAACAGCAAAATCCCTACGCTCATTTGATTACTTAGTCATGCAAACATAATTCGTATTCATCAAGCTGAGAGTCGTTTAGTCCTTCACAATCATTAGCTTAGCAAATGGCTCACAGTTTACTGTTCATTACTGACTAAACTAATTCGTGCTCAAATCACTAAATCTGTTTTTAGAATTTCTATGCAAATGAGTCTCCTGCCATATTTTAGAAAAATTATTATATAAACAAATTAATGCAATATAGTATTAGGCCCATGAAAGAGAATGGACATAGGGGAACGCAGGGAAGATGACTTTGAGCTTGTAAATATCACAAGATACTATATCTTAAGTCAAGACTCGAATCATATCATATTTATATTAGAGTCTGGAGACTGTCTAGGCTGTTCCTATCTTAGGTGCTAGAGGCCAAAGTATTTTTTGGCAGAACTTAAATTCAGTCTCTAATATTTATTGGGATAATGGGTTGAATTAAAAGCGCGTTTCAAATATGGCAAAATTGTTCTTCTATTAAGCATAGAGAAAGAGAGAAGAACCAGAACCTGAGTAACTCACATGCACAATGTTAATATGAAGATATGCAAAAAATAAAATATTATATTTTAATTTAAAAAATTTGGATATTTATAATAAAAGCAATCAGATTTTGGCCCACAAATGAGTTTACAGAATAATTATAATAGTGCCTGTTTAAAAAATTAAACTTAATTTTTTAATTAATTAATTAGTAATATTTGGGCTCATTGTCTTACAGCTTTGTAGCGTATATTGCATGAAACTTTAACTAGCCTTTCATATTTTCCACTTGAAAAGAATGTCGGCCTTATATAAATTTATTATATATTATTATTATTGCTTATATTAGTAGTAAATCGAAAATTAACGCCAATCGAAATACAAAAAATAATTTAATATATGTAGTATTGATATAAAATATTAATATAAGTATATGCATATATAAAATTTTAAAAAATATATATATATAAATTATAATATAACATATTTATAAAATATTAGTTACTAAATAACAAATTAAAATTAAAATTAAATTAAATATAAAAATATAGCGCAATTATAAAATATACAAAAATATTTAATATATTTAAAAATATAATATATATAAAAAATATATATAAAATAGCATAATCAGTTTTTCATTGCAGCAACATCATATTCAGTATGAGCACTAATGAATGTATTGTTTTTACAATTTTTAAGGGTTTCGAGATATATTCAATACTTGGAATGGAATTTACACGCTCTAAAGCTATAAGCCCAAACGTCAGATTAATTTTATTTTTCCAAGCATTTCGACTCACATCTTCCATGAAAATTTCGATAAATCTAAATAACATCTATTTGTAAACAGCCCATGCAACGCGCCAGAGCTGAGTGAAATGAGTTTTGTTGGTTCGCTGTAATTGAATTATGCATTTGCACATGTTGGCCCGAATGGGGCGAATGTATTGTGTGTTTGGGAAATCGCATTTCCTTTGCAGCACGGCCTCACACCTGAGCTGCAGCCGACACCCTCGAAAATCAAATGCGATCGCAATCAACTCGATAGCAACTGGCAGCAACAAAAACACAACAATCGAATGCAGACAAAGTTTTATGTAAAATGCAAATGACACAAAAAGTGCCAGAGACCCATGGCCCAAAGTTCGAGAGGGAATGGCCAATCGAACGAACGAACGAAAAAATCTATGCCAAACATATTTTGCAACAAATGTTGTAATAATGTGGCAGCATGTATAATACATTAGAGTGTCTCTCTCTCTCTCTCTCTCTCGCCCCCTCTCGCTCTGTCTCTGTCTGCGTGTGTGTGTGTGTGTGTGTGTGTGTGGCTGTGATGTTTTGTTGGAGATATGTCGTTAGCCATTTGCCGGCTTCGTTAGCGAGTGCGGTTTATGGATATCAATGAACTTTAAATTGCAGCCAACATGAAATATGCAATTGCAATTGTGCACGCCTAAAACTATGCAGCACATGACACAGGCGTCAGCTCTAGTGTGTGTGCCGGGGCAGGCAATAAACATGGCCAGAGTGCCAGACACATTTATAGGCAAATTTCATATTTCATATACACATCAAAAACACGCGTTCAGCCACGAAACAGCAACAAGAGCGCGACTATTGTGACTACTGACCGTCTCCAGCTACTTGGGCTGCGAATGTGTGTGTGTGTGTGTGGCGTGTGTGTTTGGGTGGGTGTGGCTAGGCCAACTGTAAGTACGGACATAAATAACATGGCTTTAGTTTTTCATCTTTCTTGCTTTCTTTCTAGTTTTTAAATATAATTACAGTAAACACGCAGCAAAGCATTCGCCTCCACTAAATTGCCAACAAGCGGCAAAAAACGCGCGCGTCTGCAGCTGATGCGCGTCTAAACACGCGAGCGAAACGCTAGCGTGCTCAAAACTTGATTGTTGTTCCTATTAGTACTTGTTGTTGTATGCTACGTTCGTTCCCCGTTGCAATGCATTTATGCAACTTGTTGTTAATTACTTATTAATTATGCCAGCAATTGAAGAACATTCTCATAAATTTTTTATGTTTTCATTGAGTTCGCGTTTTATTATTTTTGATTTAATCTCAAGCGTTATCAGTTCACATTGCAACCGTAACAGTTATAATTCACATTTATCTTTCGACATGTTTTTGTCAATGCAACAAACTGTTGCGAACGTGAAATACTCGAGAATTTCCGGTTTAGTTCCTCGCGCCGGGACACACTCGACTGCAACACAACCGCTCGCTACGAACGTCGTCGTCAGACTGAAACTGACAGTCGACACGAGTCAAGCACGAAGCAGCGCGGCAGCGAGCCGAAGACATGTGAATGGGAGGCAGCAAATCGTTTGTGTCCTCGTCGTCGTGCTGTCGTCGTGGTTGCGCTGTATGGCGGCACTCGAGGCTCGAGCAGCTTGGGTGTTGTTCGGCTGGCTGAGGCGTGTGTGGGGGGAGGGTGGCTTTTACCGGTGGCAGTTGCGTCGCGAGCGAATCAGACAACTGTGATTTTTGTTGTTGCTGGCTACATTTTATTTGGCTTTTTGTTGGCAGGGCGCTCGCTTCACGTTTTCCTTTTTTTCTAACTCTTGGTTTATTTGTAATGCTCGCTGCGTGCGTGTGAGTGGGAGCGAGTGTGTGAGTGAGGCGCATTATCCAATGGGGGGTTGCTGTTGAAATTCACCACGATTGAAATGCTCACGAAGCTCGCATTGAATGCGAATTGAATTGAATGCCGCTCTTGTGGGAAATTCGCTCTGCATATTTTACTTTGGAGCGGCATTTGCGAATTTATGAATGAATTTCGACTCTGTGTGTGTGTGTGTGTCTGTGAGTAAAATACTTACAATGTGAGCTCTGAATGTGTGTGCATTTGATGTTTGCCGTTGTTGCTGCTGGCGAGTGCGTGTTAAGCAGAAATTGATTGTCATTGGTCATGGCATTGGCATGCGGCACAGCTGCAAAAAAACAGCAAAAAACGGCTGCAAATCTTATTGAATTTCTTCTCATTTATTAATTTTTTTATTTTATTTTATTTTTTATTTTAAAAATAACGCGATGTTGTTTTTCTTATTTTTTGTTTTGAATAAATAAATAGACTAAATAGTTTTATTATTAAATGCTCCTATTAATGAAATTTAAATACAGGTCTATCATTGGTGTTAATTTCTATTATTGAAATTTGTCGTAAGCTTTTCTATTATTTTCATATAATAACTATACTTAAACACATTAAAATTTATTTTAAAGTTTTCATTAACACTCTATTTTGTCATGGTTCAAAAATATCACCGATTATATATAGCTGTAAAATTGGAATTAGCTTTTTGGTGTCATTAATAAATGATGGATCATATTATATCACTGTTTAGGCTTGAATTGTTTGTTGGTCGGGTTGTTCACGAAATTTGTAATATATATGTTTTATTTATAAAATATCGATCCTTTTGAATCAACAGTCAGACTGGAATATAAACTTATTAATTGAATGTAAGCCAATACCCAAAATATATACATATATGCCGTCATGAGACATATTAATAAAAAAAATAAAACTTTAATTAAATTAATTCTCAAATATATATACTCGTAAATATAATACTCGTAAAGATGTTCAAAAATTAAAAAAAAAAAAAATACATTAAATTCCCTTATCTTTCAACAAGTTAATTAATATCTAGTTTTCTACTCACGCGCAATCAACGTGAAGTCTATTTAATATTTTGAAACTAGGCCAGGTAAATTATTATTGGAAATATAATCATTAAGCCACCAAAAAGCATGCTATATTTTTTATTTGACGCTTTTAATTAATTTTATGCCCAGCTGCAGGCAGCCGCAAATATCAAAACTGAAAAACAAACTTTAAGCGTTAGGCACACACACACACACACCCATACATTCGCACACTTTGCTACACCTGGCTGGCACTTTTCAATAACGGTACCAGATTGTGTCAGGCTCTGCTTGGCCTGAAGTTTCTAGAGTCGCCCTCGAGCCCGTCTCATTTGCAGCTTAATTGCGCGCATATATCAGCTCTAGTTCGCTGAAGGATCTGGGTGGCGTCAGGTGGGGTCGGGTCGGGCAGGTGGCTAATCAAACCGGCCCCCGCACGCCCACCTGCGCGGCTTGGTTAGCCTATCATTTTCACACAGCACACGCACATGGCCAATAAATAATGGAAAACAAAACACAGAAACCGAAACTAAAAAAGCAAAAGAGCAAAAAACAAAAAAATGTCTGCAGCGTAAAAATGATTGTTATGAAGCGAAAATGTTGAAAAGGATATCCGAGCGCGCGTTCCCACACTCCGCGTCCTTGTTGTCCTCTCCGCTCCACGCTCGCCAGGAGCTGCTCGAGTCCTGGCTTGGCATTGCGTGCCAATGCACTTGCGCCACAAATCATTTTTCGCCTGAAAAGTCCTGAGGCGCCAAAGGGTTCACAGGACATCGACGCCGGCTTCCAACTTGTTTTTCAAGTTTCTTTCGCTTCCTTGGCAACTTCTCCTCCATTGCCTTGCTTCTCCTTTTCGTTTCATATTTTCCTTTTTTTGGTCCCGTTTTCGGCGTAGACTAATATAAATTTTGACACCTGATAATTGCTTTTCACTCGCTTCCGCGTTTTGTGTGTTGGATGCGACGACAACAGCTGCAGCAGCACCGACCCCCACCCCCCTCAATCCAGCACCCCCTCGTTCCCAGCCCCTGTGTAATTGCGGATGAACATGCAAAGGCTGATCGCAAGGATGGGCCACGACAGAGCTGGGCCATGGAAGCCAACGAGGAACTTCAATAAATTATAACTAAATTCTCGCTTTTGCATTTTTACGATGCGCGGCATTTAATAGACAAAGTTAGCCTGAATTATTGGCACAGCCTTGATGGCATTTCGCCCATAAGCCGGAAATTGGCAATTAAAAGTGCATAAAACAAGATATTTCCATCAAATAGTGTCAGTCAAGCGAACTACATTAACACGACTCAAATGCTTCAATCGAGAGTGCAGCAAAATTGTATTCATTTATCTTTTGAGAGAGTTGTAGCTGGTAATGTAACTGTTGTATTTTATATCTATTTTATTTCAAATTTTTTATATTCCTTTTAAGTATTTATTGCTAAAGCATTTTATAGTTGAGCTCGGAATAAGTATTATTATTTTTGTTTTTTGTTTTTCAAATAAATTAGAATAATTTAATTTAGCAGAATTTTACATATATAAATATAAAGTGTATATTATATACACATAATTATAAATATCTGTGCAAACATAAAATTTATCTCTTCATTTATTAACTTAACTCATTTAGAGAGCATGAAGTATTTTAGAAATATTAATTTCGATGTGAAATGATTTTTTTAATAAAATTTTCATTTTGACATTGGATATAGGAATAAAATAGGAGCAATTTGTAACAACAAATCATAATTCAAATATAATTCAAATATACATTTTCTGCAATAGGAATAAAATATTAAAAACTGATAATTTTAATTTACAAAAATAAATAAATAAATAAATAAATAAATAGAAAAAAATCAAACAATTCGAATGAAATTTCAAAAATAAAATAAAAATCATAAAATTATTATTATTATTATGTATATATAGCTAGCTTAAATTATAGAGTGCTGGCTGCTGGGGCCTTCGACTCTCTTGCTGTGATTATATTTTGTTCACAATTCATCATAAAATAGTTAAACCATTTGTACGCTGAAGCGTGTGAAATAACTTAGAGAGCAACAAGTGCGATAAGAGAGAGGCACCTAGTGATAATAAATTAGAAAGCTTAAGAGTAAAATATGTTTATAAAGAAGTCCAGTTTTGAGAAAAGAGCAAAAACGCAGACTCGAACAATGCTGAACAACACACACAGCTATACATATTTATTTGTATGTATACATTTATATATGTGCATATTGTATGTATTTCAAATCGTCAACTACTCTGCAGCTAAAGAGTAGCGCCATCCCTCTCTCTCTCACACACTCTTGCTGAAATCCATCGCTCAGCAATTATCCGTTCGATCGCCAATTAGTCATGACTTGTTATCCATAAAGCCAGCGCCAGCCAAACGTTGATCAGTTGCTCAGCAGTCGCGTCGCGAATCGGTTCCCTTCCAGATGGAGTTGTTTTATTTCGCAATAATTCTGTTTTGCCTGTGTCTCCATCTCACGGCAAGGATTTTCAAGTGCATTGGTAATGATCTGAAGTTCTTTCTTGACTTGCTCATATGCATTTTCAAGGTGTCCTTCAATTTATGTAAATCACTATTAAATCTGTTGCGGTCAATCATAAATTAATTGAATAACAAAATATAAAATATTAACAATAATACAATACGAAAATCAGCCGACTAAAATTTTCAGTGCAATCAATTAAAATCGGTAAGTGCATAGACAATTATGTGATAAAAGAAATTCAATTGGTAAAATATCCTTTCTAAATTGGCAATTTTTCCTTACAAGTGGCAATAGCTATATGCTGTGCTGTCTTCAAGCATTCTATCCATATAACGTAATGTTTAAATGATTTTTCGAATTTAGTGTGTCTTATATAATATATGATGATTAAAAATCAGTTTAGATTATTGCAATGCATATTTCTCTCATTTTCGAAACTCTCATTCGCTAATGAACTAACTATTTTTAGTCCGTATGATAAGTCATGAAATGACGGTTAGTCAGACAATTAGTTACTCTGCCAGTAAATTTTGTCATTTGCCATCTGTTTAAATATCCATCTGTCATCAAGCATTCGTTACCAGACGTCAGAATGCTCTCAGTCATCTCTTTAATCATCATCATAATCATATAAACTATTAGTCGTCAGCTATATATCTATCAGTCATCCATCATCAGCTATCAATCATCTGTCATCAGTTGTAAGTCATCAGTCATCAATTTTGAATCATCAATCATCAGTCATTAGATATTAATCATCAGTCATGTGTTATGATCCATCCGTCATCAGTCATCATATATCAATCACCATTCATCAATTGCTAATCATCAATCAGCAATCATCAGTTATTAGCTATCACATAGCAATCATTCATCAGTCATAAATTATCAACCATGAACCATGTCGTCAAACACCAGTCATCAATCATCAGTCATCACCGATCAATCATCAGCATATTAATCATCAATCATTACCAACCATGTCATCAGTTATCAGTTATTAGTCATTAATCATCAGTCGTTAGTCATCACCGATCAATCATCGACCATTAGCGATCAATCATCAGTCTTCAATATCAGTCACCAAATATCAATCACCAACTAACCGTCATCCGTCCACAAGTCATTCACTATTTTACTCTACCTCTCTCTGTTTTCTCATTCTCTCTCTCTCTCTTTCCTTCTCTGTCTCATTCTCTGCCTCTAAATCAATCAAAATCCTTCCTAACACACATATCCGCAATCAAACCTTTTGCCTTTGCCTGCCTTTGATTAATGCCACGCACATTATTTTACTTGTCTGAAATTGTGCAACAGTAGCTAAGAGACTCGCTCTCTCTCTGTCTCTCTCTCTCTCCGTCCTTCTCTCTCTTTCATATGCTCGCAATTGACACTCTGCTTCCTTAACTAATCGCCAAAATGAGCAAATGTGCAGAGGCTGCTCTGCATGCTGCCTGCATTGGCCGCTGCTGGCACACGGATGCAGTCATAAATTAAATATGACACCTACCATAGCATCCATGCATGCGATGCCATGGCACCACCCACTACCACTCCCCTTAACACCCACTCTCCTTCCTCTCTCGCTGCTTGAGTCTGCCTCCATCTCTTTGTTCAGCTGTAGCATATGAAGTGCATTCATTATTCACACATATTCTGCTAATTAGCAAAATATTGTAAATGTTTGGATTTATGTGGACGGCACACACACACACACACACACATGCACACACGCACACCTCTGCAACCAATAGCTGCAGGTATAAGCAGTGCATCAAGTGAGGCGCCGTCCTGCTTGTTGATCAGCTCACGTAGCTTTACTCCCCCCTCACTCCCTGTCCCACCCACACTCTCACTCTGTGTGTCTGTGTTTAGGTGTCATTTGTGTGATTTAGTGGCCGGAGGTGTCGTCGGTGTCGGCTGACGTCGACTGAGCAGTCTGTGGACGACAACTGAGCTCTGCGGCGTCTATAAATTTTGGTTTGCCTTTCAATCGCCTTTCAAACCGCCGAACGCACCAGCTTTGATTGAAATTTGCCAACTATGCAACAGCAGGCGACAGCAGTTCTCAGTTTCGCAGAATTTGTTTATGCAGCAGTTGTTTGGTCTACTGTTATTCTTGCCTTGGTTTTAATTACTGTTTATTGATAATCGCCCTATTGAGACTCGTCGCGACTTGTAACATTAAGCGGCTAGACAGCAAGCGGCTCCACACGCAGTCTGATACCCTGGTCGGGTATTAGCAAAAAGTTCTTGCTGCCGATGGTCAGCTTGCCGGAGCCATCGGCGGGCAGCAGGAAGCGGTAGGAGCTGAGCAGCGTGATGAGCCCCACCTTGACCTGCATGCGTCCGAAGCGCAGGCCAATGCAATTGCGCGGACCATCGCCGAAGCCAAGGAAGGCCATGGGATGGCGCTGCTGCAGGGCGGCCGGCTCGAAGCGTTCCGGGCGGAACTCGTGCGGCTCCGGATAGTACTCCGGATCGTAGTGTATAGCACACACCGGTATATGCACGCTCAGGCCACGCTCCAGCACTATATTCGCCTCATCGCCGGGCACTTTGTAGTCCTCGGAGGGAACGCGGGTCAGAGACGCCAGAGCCGGGTATTTGCGGAGAGTCTCTAAAAGCGGGAGGAGAAAAGAGTATTAAAGCAAGAGAATACATAAGATAATATTAGGTGAAAGTGAAAGTGAATTGAGATAATCAACCCACTATAAAGAGAATGTAATAAAGGCCTAAACAGACTAGACAAAAGCTTTTGAAGTAGATATAAACAGAAGTGAATGGGAGCTTTGATTATCTTGCCTGAACAGGTGCGCATAGAGCAATCAGATAAAAAATCAGATAGGCACTCAGATAAGGTGAGTGGGCGAGCCTATGGCAAGAGCTTGCTTATGAGTATAAATATAGAGTAAATATACTTTTAAACTATTGTCAAGTCATCGAAAATCCATTACCGCCCGAGAGGCTGGAAGTACCAAATGAGTCCAGAGATGATTACTGTGTTCAGAGTTTAAAGAATTTCTAAAAGAAGTTGAGCAAGTACTCAGAGGCTCAAATACATATATATATATATTCATGTATATATATATATACTTCTAGGACTAAAAAAAATCAATAGATTGTTGCTCAAGTGCCCTAATAAAAGCAAAGCAAGATTTGAAAGAGAATTGATATTTTATAACTTAGAGGTATTTAGATTAAAAATGCTCCATTCCTATTTGATGAAGCATTTGCATATTATCCCTTTATATGTGGAACTAATTAATTAGCTATTAATGGTAGACAACAAAATTGTTGAAAAGAGATATTATATTCGTATTTTTGTTTCAGCTAACGACGAATTAGAAAAGAGTTTCATGATCCCCTTTTATTTCTTCTCTATTATCAGAATCTGAAATCGGTACTAACAGGCAACAGACAGACGTATTTAGGTGTTAAGAACTGTTATATATTTAACATAAAAAACTCAGTCTCTGAAGATTATTTGAAAGTTCTCAGCAGCCAACGAAACACCGAGAATAACTTGAAATGGAAGCGAGCAGTGAATTGAAATATAGTTGACAACTGTTATACACTGTTATACATATTATAAAATACCCCCACTGCCATATATACTTTGATAGTTTATTTTAACCAATATCTAGATTTGTCAATATCGCTTTAAATAAGTGAATTCAGTCCCACAATCTCTAAAGTCTGCTTAGAGTGATATATTTATTAGACAGTCTCTATCATAATTCACTTTAATTGCTTTGTGGATTAAAATCTGAGTGCATTAAAATCTGTTATAGCCTAAACGTATGAACGTATGGCCTTCATTTCTTTTGTTTACTCTGTATAAACATTATTTCAAGTGCTTTCACTTACTCCAACTGTTTTCAGGCGAATTAAGCAGCGTTAGGCACTGCACATTGTATGAAATATCGCCGCAGACACAGCGTATCATATTTGAGTTTTATGGCCAGATAGGGAACTTTGCTCATCAGCTAGATATGGATTCGACCTTAATCTAAGCACTCACCGTTAACAACTTGGTCCAGGTATGACATCTCCATCATTGCTTCGTAGGTGAGTTTGCCGTGCTTTTGGAGAACGCTTTGGATTTCGGCTCTCAGTTGGGATTGGATGTCTGGGTTTTTGGCCAGCTCGTAGAGGGCGTAGCTCATGTTGCTGGAGCTCGTCTCGAAGCCGGCGACAAAGAAGACGAAAACCTGGGCGGCCAGCTGATCCACGGTCAGGCCGTCCTTCTCCTCCGTCTTGCGCAGACCGAGCAGCAGATCCATGAAGTCGTTCCGTTTGATATTCTCACGCTCTCGCACCTCGACTGTGTCGCGTACGAGGCGCAGAAAGAAGCTGACGAAGTCCTCGTGCGGATGTCGAGGCCTGATAGGCATTTTTTCCAGAAATTTCGCATAGGTCCGCTTGAACAGACTCCAGCGAACACTGCGATTGTGGCCAGTGAAGAGCTGACGTGCCACCTCTCTGAACTCGGCCTTCGGATTCTTCAGACTGTTGCACTCGATGCCGAAGGCGCAGTTGCCAATCACATCGACTGTGTAGCGCCCCAGCAGATCGTGCAGCTCCAGGATGTTGCCGTTGCCCGCGCTCTCGGCCACCTCCTGCCGGCAGGTCTCGTCCAGCTGCTGAGCAACGCTCGTGATTGTGCTGAACATGTACTTAATCTTTCCGCTCGTAAAGGTGGGCGAGAGCTTCGTTCTCAGCGCACGCCACTGCTCGCCGTGCAGATTGAACAGATGACCTGACAGCGGATTCTTTTCCAAATTGAATGGCGTATTCATGCGGTCCACGAACTTGTTGAAGTCCTTGATGAGTATGGTCTTCACCAGATCCAGATCCGTGACCACGGCCATGGGGCTTGTGTAGACATACGTGCCAGCCACCTTCGATTTGCCCTTGAAGGCATCGTAGGCCTCCTGCAGTAGCTCGCTGTGGTGTATGGACTTTAGCTTGAAGAAGTTGCCAAACAAAAAGTGGGTGCGCACCTGTGGCACGCCACGCTGCTCCCAGTACGTGTAGCAATGCCTCAGGTAGCCGAACAGCCAGGTGAGCACCAACGAGAATACGATTAATACGAATCCCATATTGAGAATGGAACTAGAATTAGAAATGGAGCTGCTGATGCTGCGACAGACCAAAGACTAACTAGCTCAACTCTACTCTTGACTCTACTTATAGGCGTT